TTTCAATGGAACAAAAAATGTTTTTAAAAAAATGTATCTATCTACCTGCCATTTTTTTTCTTTTCTATAAGCAATACAATATATAAGAAGCATAATCTGAAATTTAAAGAATTATTTGGGTAGAACTCAAATTTTGATTGACACCATAATGTTCTTTGTAAAAGGTTTTCAAATATGTGTCTACTTTGCTTGCTTGCTTTTCTTTGAACCAAACAGGTTTATCTGGGCACTTAGCGTTTCTGCATGACTCACTGCAATAGCAATAGATGTGGTCCAAGGAAGTTGTCATATCAATCATAATGACTTGTCAATAGCAGGTGAGCTGTCAGTAACCTAAAGTATGGTGATAACCTGACTGGAATCCTTCAGGTTAAATGTTCTCTCTTGCTTGACAAACTGTCATGTCAATAAAAAAAAAAAAATTTACATTTATACATACATAACCAGATATTCAAACCACTTTCAGATATGAGATCATGTAAAACCTATGCACACACATATATATATATATCTTTCTTCAATCAATGGAATGAAGTTTTTGACTAAAGTCTTTGATCTTTAATGTCTGTTCAACAATGCAACACTGACATTAAAAATGTACAAGAATCTTCCAGAGATGAATTGTTATTTTTTGTTTTTTTTTTTACAAGAGCATAAAAGTGAAGATGACACCTGACAGTTAATTATATGGAAAATGGAATTGGTCAGCCAAGTTTAAATTACAGTAAAGACAGTTTGTGTTCACTCGACACAAATAGAAAGGCATGAACCTATACCTTTTTTTTTTTTTATCTATGGCTAAAATTGCAGGGCAGAACAAGCTCTCTATGCCTTTGGACAGCAACTAGACAAAGGAAGGACATCTTTGAATTCAAAACCATCAAAAAAGCAATGGGAAACCATCTTAATAACAGTCATGGTAATGTACAGTTCAGAAAGGAAAAGCCAGAGATTGCCAATATCCTGAAAGGATAAGTCGTATAACTTTAGTAAAGCTATCTAAAAAGATAAATGATTTGTGTAAATATACAGCCAGTGCTTTTATACAGTCTTTCACTGATTGAAAAGCTTCACCTTAGGATGTGTTTTGATTCCTGTTTGTCTCTTGGTGTGAATGAAAACTGGTAAAGGCCTGGTGTATTTTCACAAGGGAACTGAATGGGAAATAATGCCAGAGTGAGAAAAGAAAACATAGATCCTGTTTTCAATATTTTTTTCTTCCACCTGGCACACTCTGGAGGGGTTGGTAAGTGACATTTGGGACATTGCTGTTACTTCTGTCTTTTCTCGCTACAGACTAACAGACCAGATCTTCCCTTCAGCCAACAAAAAAATCCATCTTTCACTGACTCACACTCTCTCTCTCTCTCTCTCTCTGGCTGCCACTTCTTTTCTAACGACAATTTCACCCCTCCCTGCCCATCTCTACATCACAAGTGCAACTTTCTAACTGACTACCTCTCGACACCACAACAGACAGCTCCTAATTGACTTACTCTGTGATTTTTGGCTCACAACTGGAATTTCCTACCTTTCAGCCAAGTGACACTTGATCTATAAAGTTTTTATTTATTTATTGGCTTCATTTCCTTTCTCTCTACTGGTGGACAGGGGGTAGTTGGTTTGAAGTCCTCATATCTGAGACTTTACTGTCAGGTGTCTTAAAACTCAGGCCCAAATAAAATCATTTAAACCCCACTCAATGTTCTGTGTGCTCTGATCACTGACTGGGATATATTGCATCAAATTTGTACCATACAACTGTGTATAAGCTTGTGAATATGCCTTATTAAAAACTTAAGCCTTCATAGTCATTTTATTTGAGAAAACTGCTAGGTAAGTTTTTGCTTTGGTCATCTAAACATTGGATCAAATGATTAAATTCATTTTTCTAGAAAATGATTGTATCCTTGAGAAATAGAAGAAATCTATCGTTTACAAATACTTCTAACATTGGTTTATAATATTCTTAAACTAGTCAGTTTCTCTTATTGCCTATATTTAACCTCTATCATACGAAATTTTGTAATTTGAAAAAAAAGTCACTAGTATACTTCCCCCACTTCATAAAAGAGAGAGTTGAACCTTTTGCTTTACACGCATAGTAGTCTTTGTTTTTATTTTATTTAATAATTTATTTTAACTTCCCTGGTTACGATGGAGTAGTTGCTCTGACTTGCTTTTACTGATTTTAAAAACACAAAAATGTATCAATCATCTCCAATTTGTGTCATTGTCACCTTAGTGACAAAACTTTGCTATAGCAACAGTTTTATCTGTTTGTGTTTCATTGCACGTAAAATAAAAATAATCTTTTCATCGTGTTATTGCAAATATTGTCTCTTGCTTTTAAATTTTTTTAACTTAATTTTAAATGAGGACAACACAATAATTATTAAAAAGTATAGAAAAATGTTTTTCACTTTGAGTAATCTTGAATTTTTTTTTTTTAAAGCAACATATCAGCCTCTGTTGGTTATTTAATGCTGAAATCTAAATGTTTTGTATGCAATTTTCTTTTTTTTTCTAGATAATAATGGCTTTTAGAGATACAACTTTTACTAATTAACCTACATCTGGAGGATATTTCCTAAGGCTATTTGTGCGTAAATAAATATAATGAAACCAACTGGAATTGGAACTCTGCCCTCCAATTAACAATTTGAAGCCATTATCCATTACACCCCCTGCACATCCAAGTTTACTGCTCCTGGTATTCTCAAGCAGTCACCCATCTAGGCACTGACTGGGCTCAACGTTCAGTAGAGTAGGGATGGTAAGTAGTGTAATAGATATGAACATGCAAAGTACCAGGTTCAAATTCTGGGCTAGTCAGTTGCATTCACTTTTGCACTAATGCCCTTCAGCAAGGAATGAATTTGTCTCTTCTCCACCCCTCCCAATCTCCAAGACCCCATGGATTAAATTGTAACCTTGGGTGGCAATCAGTCTAAGTGAAGGGAGACTCTGAATTCAAACTGATGAGAAAGCAACAGGAAACCATTCCACTATCATTCTAAAGAATACTTGACAATTCAGATTATAAAAAAGAATCTGTTAAGAGGATGATTGCCAACATCCTGAAGGGACTCAACAAAAAAAAAAAAAAAAAAAAAAGCTACTATATTAACTCTCATTGCACTAATAATTTTAGGGAACAAAAATTTAATCAGGAAATCATAGCTATTCATATAGAAGTGTATATGGAGTGAGATAATTTTTGGAAGAAATAGCTTATTTCCAATTTTCAAAAGTAATGTCTGCAGGAAATAAGAAATTTTTTTTTGTCATTCTCTATCCAAATAAAGTAAAAGTTAACAACATAAAACTACTTTTTGTTCCATATGTACTATGACAAAACATCACGACAGATCACTGCTTTTTGCACACCTTGTATTATGACGTTGATTCACGATAAGCCAACTGATATCAAAATACTATGCTGTGTACAATTTTAAGAAGTCATTATCATTCCAAAAATTGTTTGGATGACTGAACTCATTCTTAGTATTTGCTGTTGTCACTTCAATCTATTCTATTGCCATCTTCAGATGTACAAACATAACTGTTGTAATTTGGGCATCCTGATGTGACATAATGGTTAGCAAACTTGTCTCGCTAGAACAATGATGACTGAGTAGTGGCACTGTGGATAAAGGTGTTAGTTAGATCCAGTGACAGGACCCAAAGAGTGTGAGGTCAATAAACGGTTAAGGCAGTGGAGAACTTTCAGGGGGAAAATTAACAGGAGATAACTGATAACTGACATCCATTAAACATGGCACATGGAACTAAAACAGTCTACCAGGTTCAGTTCGACATTCCAACTACCTGAAGAAGGCCGGAGCGTACAACGGCCGAAATGTAATAAATATGGCGACAAAGATGAGGACAATAGTCCGAATAATGTAAATAATGTACTATTACAATTCTATGTAATATTTATACACACACAGACACATAAAACTTTATATATTTAATCAAATTTCAATGTGCTTATAGCCATATCACATTGATATACCAGTTCTTAAGCAACATCAAACCTGGTTAGTACCTAGATGGGTGACCACTTGGCAATATCAGGTGCTGTAAGTTTGGATGTGCAAAGGATAATGGCTCTGAATTGGAGAGACTAGTTTCAATTACAGTTGGGTTTGTTATATTCACTTTACTTATTCTTGGTAAAAGTATGAATCCACCTCTTCTCTCCCCAGCTATGGGTTAATATAGGACTTGTATCAGTAAATCATTGTTATCTCAAAAAAAAAATTATTACAATCTAAAAATATTTTTATTTAAATAACCTGCAATGGGTTGATAAGCTGTAGAAAACGAATCGATAAAATACTGAATAGCTATACAGGCATGTCTTTTAGATTTATTTACATTCTCTGGCACATAAATATATAGAAACTATTATGGCCATAAAGTGAGGGAACATTTTATATAATTATTGTAATATAGAATTGACCCACACACGCACTTTATATCCACATTATAATTTCTTTGTCTCTTCTCCCCCAACTATGGGTTAATTAGTAAAACTTGTATCAGTAAATCATTGTTATATCCAAAAAAAATTCTTACAATCTAAAAATATTTTCAGGCTTTAAATAACCTGAAAAAAAAGAAAAACAAATCAATCCATTTTCAACTGGAGACTGATTTTTAATATTGTACATTGGATAATCATCTTTTTGTCATGGTTGCAGAAAAAGAGAACACAACTTGCTTTATTTGTGTGCCACTCTCAGTTCCATGATTTCTTTGTGTATTTTTTTTTCCTTTTTAATAATTGACTTGAACTCAGATTTTTTCTTTTCCACATAATCAATGGTATTTGCTATTGCATAACTCTCCTTCTAAAATCAATTTTTATATTGACTACATCAACCTATTAATCATGAGCTTTATTTTTTCTTTAGTCATTATAAAGAAAGAATAAACAATATAAAAAAAACTGTAACTAGTTTTATGTACCTCTCTTCAAAGCTTGATCGTTCCATACGATCACTGCAGTTAAGCAACATTGAGACTGGTTAGTACCTAGATGGGTGACCACTTGGGAGTACCAGGTGCTGTAAG